CCACCCACCACCACTCACCATCCACCTGCCACCACCACCCACCTCCTACCCACCACCATCACCCACCACCCACCTGCCACCACCACCAACACCCACCACCCGCCACCGCCACCGCCACCACCCACTCGCTACCACCCACCACTCGCCACCGTCACCCACCTACCTGCCCGCCACCACCGACCACCACCAGCAACCCACCACCCACTGTCACCACTTTCCACCACCGTCTTCCACCGCCACTTGCCGTTTTTCACTTTTTTTATATTTTTAAATTTTTTTTAAACATTTTGTCAATTACCAAACGCGTTTGTAGTTTATGTTTTTCTAAAAATAAACAAAAAAAAAAAAAACCAATTTATAAAAATTTTGTAAATATAAACTGAAAACATAAACGTTACCAAACAGACCCTAAGCTTTTGGTTTTTCTAACTTATGGTAGTGTTGTCAAATGAAGCTTTACTTTCATACAAAATAATATTTTAAAGAAAGAAAAAATTTTAGACTAAGGTTTATTTTTGATTTTAGAAAAATATATACTAAGAGAGTTTAGGGCTGACAGACGTTTAGCTGGGTGGTTGTGACTTTTTCAAAGGTTATTTAGAAGACATTGTTGAATTGGGTCTAGCTCAATTTCTGTTAATGGTCTTGAACCTTTAGAGCATCCACAATGGACACACTAACGTGTTTGTTAGTGTCAGTTGCCAAGTTTTGGCTAGCAGTGGTGTGTGTTTTGGGCTGCAATGGAGGTGTCAGTGTGTGTGTTAGTGAGTTTTGTTAACGTCAGTTGTTAAGTTATTTGTTAACTGCGACTAGCGTTTTAGCTAGCAAAGGGATGCGTTTTTTTGTCTTCTGAGTTGACCGGATGGTTGACTGACCGGATGTCCGGTCGATTGATCCGGTCAACAGAATTTTTTATTTTTTTTTAACATGTTGGGATTTTTTTTTGTTGGACTTGAAATTTAATTTTGGGCTTCAAATTTTTGATTAAACTAAATTATTTATTTATTTTATTTATTATACACACATATATATATATATATATTTAACACACCCCTTAACACATCCATTGCACTACCACTTACTCTCTAAAATTAACAAACTCTTAACACATCTTAACAAATATTTTTAGACTTTATTTTTATTAATTTTTATCATATAACACACTTTAATAAATAATTTTAACTATCCCATTATGAATGCCCTCACTTTCGCACAAAATAATATTTTAAATTTTTGAACATGTAGCGTGTGGATTCACGTTAACCAAATTCTTTTCTTAATATAATCTTCCTAAGGATACGAGATGGACAAAAATAGGTAGAACTCAAGACAAAGCCTTGGTTTGGTTTTTGAGTGGGGACTGAGGTTTCATTTGGAAATATTTTAAATTTTTGAACATGTAGCGTGTGGGATACACGTTAACCAAATTCTTTTCTTAATATAATCTTCCTAAGGATACGAGATGGACAAAAATAGGTAGAACTCAAGACAAAGCCTTGGTTTGGTTTTTGAGTGGGGACTGAGGTTTCATTTGGAAATAGGTTATTTTAATAATTTTTTAATTTTTTAGTTAAAATATAAAGTAAAAAAAATTAAAATATTTAGGATAATTTTTTGACTTTTTACGAAAAGATATGTAAAAAGTAGAGAGAGAATCGAATCTTTAACTTTTTGATATAGATTATAGGTTTTTTTATTTTTTAGTAATTTTTTAGCTTTTTAGCTAAAATGTTAACTTGTCAAACGATGCCTAAATAAGCATATAAAGGCAAAAAAAAAGTCACAAAATCAAAAAATGATAAAATACTTCACTTTTGATGTAAAATTATCAAATTGATCCATATACAAATAAAAAGTCAAAAAAATAACATTTCAAATGGAGGGCAATTTTGTTATTCCAATGTAAAAAAGTTAAAAAAGTCAAACAAAAAAACTAAACGAACAAAAAAGTCTCAGACTAAAAAAGTCAAAAAAGTCAAATTTGCCAAACGACACCTAAAAGTTAGATTTTTGTGAATATTATGTATAATATTTAATAAATTTTTTCTTGAAATTTTAGCAATTTTGTTTGACAGATGGACTAGCTAGTATCGTTAAATCACCAACGATGTCATCCACAAAAATAAATAAATATATAAACAAACAAACTTGTTATACTACTTTCAAAGAAACCCTAGTCATTTTTTCTTTCTCGGTCATGGTTTCTCTTTTCTTATTTCTTATTCATCGCTATGCTAATCACTACCACTCTTCTTATCTCTATTATTGGCTTTCCATCTAGCAAGCTTTCAGATATATATTCAAACTTAATTCATGACCGAGATCTGAAACTACTAAATTCACTTATACACTAGACGGCTACCTCAAATTAAGTATATTTTATTTTGTAATGTAGAGGTAGAAATTTAGGTACCATAATTGCCAATTGCAACGATGAATAAATCATGAAGATTCCTCCTTTTATGAAGGTTTTTTCTTCTCTGGTGGATGTTTGTTTCTATCTATTTGAAGACTCATATCCTTAATGTGCGGAGATCCCTTTTCGGATCTATCTTGTGCTCTGATATAATTTATTAGATGACTTATTATTGGATTTGCAATTTATTTGAGCATCTCCAATGGAGTTGCTATTTCACTTGCCAAAGCTAAAAAATGACAGGAATGGCAAAAACAGGTCTCCAATGATCTGCTATTTCACTTGCCAAAGATAGCAAATGTCATATGTGTTCTCAAATTTGACAAGTGAAATAGCAGCTCCCAAGCTTGCCATATCAGCAAAAATCAACAGCAATTTGGCATCAAATTTAGTTGAAAACAACAGAATTAAAACAGTAGGGAACCCATTTTTCAGAATCAAACCCAATTTTCTGAATCAAACCCAATTTTCAAAATGAAATTGACAAACCCAAATTCGGTTTCTCAAATTTTTATTATTATTTTTTTAAATTCATTTATCACCAAATCAGTCAATCCAAATCAGATGATATGCATTCACAATAAACCAAACGAAATTAGATAATCCAGTATCACAATAAAATGATCAGATGAACAAAAAGAATGAAGATTGAGAGGGAGACAGATATCAAAACATATATATATATATATATATGGAGATACCAGATTTGATGGATGAACAAAAAAAATTGATGAAGACAGATATCAAAAATTGATGAATGAACAAAAATTAATCAAAAAAAAATAATTAAGAAAATTTGAAAAAAGAACATACCAGATTTGAGTTCTTTGAAGATCCGGTTTGAATTCATCGCCAGCTTTGATTTCAAAAATCACGATCACCTCAGAATCACATTACAACCAGAAAAATAAAGCAAAAATCAACACATGAAGAATGAGAGGGAGACAGATCAAAACATATATATATATATATATATGAGTATGTATATAGATGGAAATCGTACCAGAGATAGAGAGTACACAGATCGGAGGTAAAGAATGAGAGGGAGACATATTGGAGCTT